TCGGGGCCCAGCGGCCGCGGGGCGCCGAGCTCACCTTCGAGCTGCCGGACAACTCCAGGCAGTGCTTCCACGAGGAGGTGGAGCAGGGCGTGAAGTTCTCCCTGGATTACCAGGTGAGGCGGGGCGGCCCGCAGCGCTCCCTTCTCCCGCCCCCTTCCACGTCTTATCCTGACCAGAGTGGCTGGAATTTGCCTAAGAAATTGCGGGGCGGTGGGAGTCATGGAAGCCAGTTGACTTCGCCCGGGGAAGGAACGTTTGGATCAGTTAGAGCCCGCCCGAGACAGGCCGGGCTGGCCGGGGAGGTGGTCAGCGCCGCAGGTGGCTGTCCTGGGTGGGATGCCCGGGGCGGGTCCCGCATCCCGGGGAGCTGGCCGGAACGACCTCCCCAGGTCCCTTCGACTCTAACGGGCGCCAATTCTGATCATCGGGACACAGGCTGTCAGTGTGTCCCGGGTCTCTTGGACCGGCTTGTCTCTGCGGGTACTGAAAAATGGCGGCGAGAGGCAGGGGTTCATAGTTTTATTCCCCCGCTCCCCCTCCAGCGTTAGAGTTGTAGTCGGAGTGAGCATAGCAGTGGTGAGAATGGGCGCTTTGGAAAGGAGGTTTTAGGCAGCCTTTGAGCTCTGGCAACATTTATTTACAAGGAGAGGTGGTGTGGCTGCAAGACTTGGCTCTTGCCATATGGCTCAGAAAAGCCCAGCCCCTGCACTCCCTTCTCCAAGGAGAAATCTCATGGTTCACAGTTGCCTGGAGCAGGTCTTGGGTGCGGGGTCTGCCCCTAAGGTTTAGTGAGCTGGGGGCTGAGTGGGCATCACACTCAGCCGTCTGCTGGTGGACACTTGCTGGCAGGCTGTCCAGAAATGAAAAGGCAGTAGAATGGAGGCAAGCTATTTGACCGGCCCCTCTGTGGTTAGAAGCACTGGAGGAGGCTTGTGCTTGGAGACACAAACGTGTAGTTTCTGTCACTGATTGGCCCAGTTTCATATCTGTGTGGACAATATGCAAATTGTGCATGTGCTTGTGCTACACAGGGAAACTAGGTGCAATGACAGGCCTGAGAGGTCATTTGGTCACTGCCAGGGCAGGTATTCCCTGCCAGGGGGTGTCCAGCATAACGCCACTAGCAAAACGATGCTCACTGTTTCATGCAACGCTTTCTGAACGGGTCTAGTAACTTTTAACTGGATAAAGAGTAAACTTTAAGTTTGGAAGTTGATGGAGGCTGTTGACTGTGTCCTTTGATGTATGTACCTTGGTTATAGCTGTTGACCACTTGTGTGATTTTGCCCTGTGTGGGTCTTACTTTTTTTATGTTTATGAGGGTTTGAACTGAATGATTCCTAAGGACAATGATGTTCACCTCTGATACTGATTCTATGAACTCTTCAATCTATATTTGTCTTCTCCTTGCATTCAATGAGTGATAATATTGTTAAAGGTTACTAGGCCCATCCAGTATGCCAAGAGTGGCACTTGCTCGGTGGCTGCTGTCTCTTATTGGAAGGGAGAAGACGCAGGTGCAGCATGCACTTCACCTGTTCTCACTGTGGGATGGCTTCAGATCTAACCCTGCCTCTCCACCATCACCCCTGCATGGCCAGTTCACAGTCTGAGGATTGTCCAGTAGTTGTCTGGCAATTGTTGGGCACTTGCTGAGTCAGACACTTTATTAACCACTTTAGATGTGATACCTCATTGAATCCTTACCACAACCCTGTGAGATAGGTCCTGTTATCCCCCTTTTAGAGATGAAGACACATCCTCAGGGAGTAAAGTAACCTGTCCAGGGTCACATGGCTACTGAGTGGCAGTGTCCTGAAAAAGTGACTTGCTCCATGTCTTGTGTTAAGTACTGAACAAGGATAAAGAAGCAGCAGCATTGAGTTGCCTTGAGACAGTTTTCTTGGGCATCCCTTTCTGTTCATCTTCCTCCTCTCCTGGGATGTGATCATTCATGCTGCGGAATAGCACAGTGGTTGAGTGTGTGGGCACTAGAGCCAGCAGCCCCAGCTCTACCATTTTCTCCTTGTACAGTTTATGTAACTGTGGAGCCTCAGTTTCTTCTTTTGTAAAATGGGAAGGATTAGGCTCATTGCACTCTTGCCAAGCAAATCCTTGGGAGTCAGGCGAACATGGATTCAGATCTTAGCCCTGTCACTTTCAAGCAGTGTGACCTTGACTTTTGCTCAGCTTCCATAAAATGGGAAGCGTTACAGCACCTGCCTTAGGAAGTTGTGCAGATTAAATGTCAGAAATGTTTGTAGGGTCTGATCACAGTGCCTTGTTGGCAGTTAGTAAGTGGTGGTTGCCCCTCTGGTAACAGACTTTCTGTGGTTGTCAGGTCATCACTGGAGGCCACTACGATGTTGACTGCTATGTGGAGGACCCTCTGGGGAACACCATCTACAGGGAAACCAAGAAGCAGTACGACAGCTTCACGTACCGGGCTGAGGTCAAGGGCGTTTATCAGTTTTGCTTCAGTAATGAGTTTTCCACCTTCTCTCACAAGACCGTCTACTTTGACTTTCAAGTGGGCGACGAGCCCCCCATTCTCCCAGACATGGGGAACAGGGTCACTGCTCTCACCCAGGTGAGTAGACATTAGTAGTGACAGTGTTTTCCTCCCCCTCGGTTCCTGTATCAGTGGATGAGCAGGGCTGTTGTCCATCCAGCTCCCTGCCTGGAAGTCTCAGCGTTGCTTTCTTTGCCTCTTTCTTCACATCCAGTCCTGGAGAATGCTGTGTTCTCCTTCCGATCTTCCTTTCTGTTCTTTAACCAGATCCCTGCAGTACTTTCGTCCGACATTCCTGCCTTAAATCTTCAGTCCCACTCATCTTTCACACAGTACCACTTTCCAAGTACTCTGTCACGTGCCTCTCTCAAAGTCCTACTTGTGTGGTACACAAGGTGCTGTAACAAACTCCAGCTATCAATCACTTAACACAATTGAAGCTTATTCTCATAATAATACAGAGAAGACTGGTGGGGAGCCTTCCTCCGTAGTGTGACTCAGGAGTCCAGGCTCTCCCTTTCTTGTCATCTTTCTGCCTTCCCGTAGGGCTTCAGAGTCCTCTGCCTCTAGCCACCAAAACAAGGAGAGAACGAGAAGACCCACTTGCTTCCTAAAAGCCCTTGCCTGGTAGTCACACACGTCACTTCTGCTCATGTCCCACTAGTGACAACTTGTTATGTGGCAAATCTGGATGAAGGAGGGCTGGCAAATATAGTCCTGGTTGGGTGGTTGCCTCTTAGCAACAACTCCGCACTGTGGAAGAGAAACTGTGGTATTTTGGGAGGACAGATAATCATCCCTGTCACCATGGCTCTCAAGGTTAGTCATAACTGATCCCAGCTGCCTTCATGGGTCTTCTCTCCTGCTATTTAAGCTTCTCCTTCCCTCCCATGTGCAGGCTGAGCCTCCTGAGGGCCAGGACTCTGTATTATTTACCTCTATCCTCCGTGCCCCAGTGCATGAGGCGTGGCATAGAAAGGAGCTCACCAAGTATTTGTCAGGTGACTGAGTGTCAGTGCCCAGGGAAACCTGTAAGACAGGAACAGCCACTTGTTTCAGACCAAAGCCAGAGCATCTTGAGTCTTCAGGGAGGCCAGTTTACCTTCTAGGTTGCCCTCCGAGGTGGCTCCATTCCTCTGTACACACTCATGAAATCCTGTGGGTTCTTTTGCCCAGTTGTCTACTTTCCCTGATCAGTTGGAGGTTAGAGCTGCATTATCCAGTATAGTAGCCACTATCTATGTTTGGCTATTTAAATTAAATTAATGAAAATTAAATTTAAAATTTACTTCCTCATTTGCCTTATAGCAACATTTCCAGTACTCAGTAGTCACAGGTGTCATGCATAGAAAGTTCCACTGGACACTATTGGGCTTGAGCTTAGCAGTGTGACTGCTGTTAGAAGGTCCAGCTGAGGATGTGTATTGCGTGTAAGACCTTTTGTAATTGATACTCTTGAGAGTTCTGTTGGTCACTGATGAAACAGCCTCCATTCGGAAGATTTTGTAAGTCTCCGAAAAATGAGCTGAAAGACTTCCCTCTTTAACCAGTGGAAAACAAATTTGTAGAAAAAAGGCATAATGAAGTAGGTTGGTAGAGAAATTCTTTCCTGGAGTTTGATTTTGTTGCCGGAAAAAAGTGATTTTTGCTTCCCTTGTGTATCTCAGAACTTTGTCTTTGCTCCTGCCCAGGCTCAAAAGAGGTGATTCTTTCCACTTCTGTAGCTCTGACCCCTCCACCTTGAACCAGAGTCCGTGTGTGTCTGATTCCGAGAGCTCGTGGGTATTCACTGAATCTGCGCACTATGCCACAGGGAGGTACCAGCATGGATGGTGCTGTCCCTGGTGTTGGGAGCACTGCAAGGGCTGTGGCCCTGTAACAGTTAGTTAGACACAGGGCATGTGGTCAGAGCTGTGATTGATGGGCTCAGAGGCTCAGAGGAAGGACCAGTGAATTCTTCCAGACTGTCAGGAAGGCTTCATTGGGAGAGCTTTAGCTTAGAAGTGAGAATGTGAGAGGTTGCCGAGGAGCTGGTCTGGCACTGGAGGAGGAAGGGCCTCCCAGATGAAGAGACGAGCAGTGAAATTTACCAGGTGTAATTTTTATTCCTCTCACCAGCCCTTTTTTATTTGCTTGGCATGGACCCCCTTTTAGCCAACACTGCCATCTCACTTCCCCCCAGACTTCTTGCAGCACAGTGCTGGGCTAGAGGCCATGTTTCCTGGCAGCAAAGGGTGAAAGAACAGGATCCATAGTGACCAGAGCTCAGGCCAGGGATTTGGGCTGGAAGGACTTGTCTCAGGCCTGAGTTCTGGATGACCAGTCTCCAAGGAGGGGACATGGGCCAGGAGAATGCTACTTCAAGGAAGTCAAACGTGAAGTGTTCCAGGCTTCCTGAGAATTCGGGCAGATTCCAGGGGAGTCTGTAGGTTTCTGGCCATCGCCTGGCGCGGCCCAGACGCCCACTCCCGGCGCTAAATTTAAAATTTACTTCCTCATTTGCCTTATAGCAACATTTCCAGTACTCAGTAGTCACAGGTGTCATGCATAGAAAGTTCCACTGGACACTATTGGGCTTGAGCTTAGCAGTGTGACTGCTGTTAGAAGGTCCAGCTGAGGATGTGTATTGCGTGTAAGACCTTTTGTAATTGATACTCTTGAGAGTTCTGTTGGTCACTGATGAAACAGCCTCCATTCGGAAGATTTTGTAAGTCTCCGAAAAATGAGCTGAAAGACTTCCCTCTTTAACCAGTGGAAAACAAATTTGTAGAAAAAAGGCATAATGAAGTAGGTTGGTAGAGAAATTCTTTCCTGGAGTTTGATTTTGTTGCCGGAAAAAAGTGATTTTTGCTTCCCTTGTGTATCTCAGAACTTTGTCTTTGCTCCTGCCCAGGCTCAAAAGAGGTGATTCTTTCCACTTCTGTAGCTCTGACCCCTCCACCTTGAACCAGAGTCCGTGTGTGTCTGATTCCGAGAGCTCGTGGGTATTCACTGAATCTGCGCACTATGCCACAGGGAGGTACCAGCATGGATGGTGCTGTCCCTGGTGTTGGGAGCACTGCAAGGGCTGTGGCCCTGTAACAGTTAGTTAGACACAGGGCATGTGGTCAGAGCTGTGATTGATGGGCTCAGAGGCTCAGAGGAAGGACCAGTGAATTCTTCCAGACTGTCAGGAAGGCTTCATTGGGAGAGCTTTAGCTTAGAAGTGAGAATGTGAGAGGTTGCCGAGGAGCTGGTCTGGCACTGGAGGAGGAAGGGCCTCCCAGATGAAGAGACGAGCAGTGAAATTTACCGGGTGTAATTTTTATTCCTCTCACCAGCCCTTTTTTATTTGCTTGGCATGGACCCCCTTTTAGCCAGGCTGGTCTGGCACTGGAGGAGGAAGGGCCTCCCAGATGAAGAGACGAGCAGTGAAATTTACCAGGTGTAATTTTTATTCCTCTCACCAGCCCTTTTTTATTTGCTTGGCATGGACCCCCTTTTAGCCAACACTGCCATCTCACTTCCCCCCAGACTTCTTGCAGCACAGTGCTGGGCTAGAGGCCATGTTTCCTGGCAGCAAAGGGTGAAAGAACAGGATCCATAGTGACCAGAGCTCAGGCCAGGGATTTGGGCTGGAAGGACTTGTCTCAGGCCTGAGTTCTGGATGACCAGTCTCCAAGGAGGGGACATGGGCCAGGAGAATGCTACTTCAAGGAAGTCAAACGTGAAGTGTTCCAGGCTTCCTGAGAATTCGGGCAGATTCCAGGGGAGTCTGTAGGTTTCTGATGGAGGTCAAAGGTCAAGGGCTGCCTCTGCGGTGGTCTGGGAAGGACTAAACGTTTTCTTAACACTGCTCTGAGGCCAGCTCATGCTTTCCTGCCATTGTGTTCTTGAAGAATTTATTTTGAGAACCAAGTATTTCTGTCAGGGGAGGCCTGATGAGGCGAAGGCTGGAGGAATTTGTTGGTGGTTACAGCCTGCAGACCTCAGCGTCAGCAGGTGCTAGAGACAGGAGGGATGTCAGTGTGGGAAAGGAAGACAGGGAAGGGGTGGTGCTGGAAGGGAGATGGGTTAGGGTGTCTCCAGAGACACCTTGTCACGATGGAGCAGTGACCAGGATCCCTGTGAGGCTCCAGGCTGATGGCAGGGTGGAAGGCCATGCACCAGGAGAGCTGGGGACTCAGGGCACTGGGAAAACAGATCTCTCTGAAGCAGAAGGTTCTGTGGGTTTCCTGCTGGGTGGGAAGCAGTCTGGAGGGGTTGTCTAACTGAAATTTTGTGGTAACAGGCTGAAGAGGTTTCTTTCAGACTAGCAGTAACAGACAATCCCAGTGGATGGGAAAATAGCATGTTCTGGTGAAGGGTGCTTTCAAGTATCTGTGATTCTTGGCGATGTGTTGCTTAGGGGTCTCTTGTGGGGCCTATGCCTGGTCCTAAAGGTGATTGCAGGTTTTAGACGCCAAGAAAGCTGTAGATTGTCACCTGTTGCCTCACCACCCTTTGGGAACTGGCTCCTTCCTATCACAGATCTGATCTGAGATTGTTCCTGTAAAGGCCCTGGGGCCCTCTTCCCCGTGCCAGTGTCTGGCCTGTGGCATCAGATTCAGGCCTTTACAGTGGTGCCTTGCATAGTGTTGCTTAGGGGTCTCTTGTGGGGCCTATGCCTGGTCCTAAAGGTGATTGCAGGTTTTAGACGCCAAGAAAGCTGTAGATTGTCACCTGTTGCCCCACCACCCTTTGGGAACTGGCTCCTTCCTATCACAGATCTGATCTGAGGTTGTTCCTGTAAAGGCCCTGGGGCCCTCTTCCCCGTGCCAGTGTCTGGCCTGTGGCATCAGATTCAGGCTTTTATAGTGGTGCCTTGCATGGGTATCTGACATACCCTCTGTCTGGGGGTCTGCACCTGTAACTTCTGCATCCGCCTTCTTT